GGGAACGGAGAATTGCCGAACCCAAGGCAGTGTGAACCTCAGAATATGCTCCATTATTTCCTCTGCTTAAAATTCACCAGCAGGATGCTCCCTCCCACCCCCAGCGCTTTGCACTCATTCCCAGTCCCGTTGTCGGGCTGCTTTACCTGTTTTGGCAGGCCGCTGTTGCCCACCCACCGAGCAAAGGACGAGAGAGGCGGCCAGGATGTCGCCTCCACAGCTGGACCCTCGGGGACAGCATCCCGGCCCCAGAGCGGCCCCGGGGAGCGGGCGCAGCGGCTCAGCACCGCTTGTCTCGCAGGCAGCAGCGATGCAGAGGGGGTTTTGAAGCTGCCTTGATGCATGAATCCCTGCCTTCTACTGCCTGCGGTTTCACATGGAGTTTTGTAGTACGGATCCTGAAAAGAGTGAAAAGCCACATCTGTCAACACAAAGGGAATTCTTTTAAAAGTATACCCAAACTATCTCTAAGTAATAATTTCTACATGATTCTGGTTAAAAATAGGGCAGGAGAGGATTGGGTTCTTAGCCCAGTTTTTCTCAATATTCTGGAAATTGTAGGTCATATCCTTTTGGGTTTTTCCCCAGAGTGGACTTCATTTGTAACCAAATAAAAAATAGGCTCAAATTTCAATACTGATTTTCCACTTACATTTTTTTCCCATTTTGCTTGCCTGCTTTGAAGCCAAGTGAGGATGTGTGAGTTTGGATTTATTGAGTTTTCAGGTGTCTTATAAACCACCTTTACCCACGAAAACTGTCCTAACCCAGTTCTTTCTTTTCCATCCTGTGTTCTTACCTCTTTGTCACTAGTGACATGTGCACCCTTGGCCCTTTCAGTGGAGACTGAAGCAAGAGCAGGCATTTCAAAAATTCTCTGTACGATTTGCATGTAGTCTTCTCCATCATTTAATCATTCATTTAATGCGAATGTTTTCCTCGGTCTTGTCCTGTTACTAACGTACCCCTGCTCATACTTACTATTTGTAACACTTTTTGTGCATGGGCTCTTACAATTTTTGTCATATCGGGGTGTATTTTAAACTTTCTTAATTTGGCCTTATCATTTTCGGGTGTTTCTGACCACATAAGATTTGGCCTTATTTTTCATGTCAGGCACTGTCTTTGCACTAAGTGTGATTTGCCCTTGCACTTGTAATTGCTGGCTTTTTTAATGGTGTGTTTTTCTGGAGACTTTTTTCCTATGAGGTTGTACCTGTCAACCCTCCAAGCTGTTTAAAATTCGCTTTCCAAACAAAAAAAACCCAACAACTTTATATTTGGCCACTCTTTCATTCCTTTTCATTTCCATGCCACTGCTTCATGATCCCTGTCACTTAGTTTTCCTTCTCAACATGATATAAAATGTTCTCAGCACGATGTAAAAGCTTCCTATCAGGCTGACGCTAAACAAACCCATCTGGCCTCTTCAGTGTTACACATTTTTACATACAGCCTAGGAATGCACCAGCAGAATCCATGACGTGTGTCGCCTCACCCCCCTCTCTGCATGAAGAACCAGCATTGCAACCTATGAGTAAAACGTGGCTTGGTTGAAATAACACTCGCAAAAGGGGATCACAGACCTTGGGATGGGAGTTGAAATTAAGCATGTCTTGGAGTTAAAAAACAGAGCTATGAAGGAATTCAGAATTTCTCCCGGTTTTTAGAAAAAAAAAGCCCAAAAAAAGGAAATAGCTGAGTTTCATCTTTTGAAATAAAGGACAGAACTGCCCATCCCTCTACGTGCTATTTCTCAGCAGCTGTGATGTTTCGCCAAGGAAGCCTCTGAGTTGCGACCAATTGACCTTCTCTGAAGGTGTAGCTCTTCTGTGACAGCAGTGTCCCCTCCTGACATGCTGGTTTGTTAGGGTCTTGCCTCCCTGCTTCAGAGTCCTCTGCTGCTTTTGCTGCTTTCTCCAAATGCCTTCAGAAGCTACAAAAAATGGGTCAGAAAGTAGGGAACGCGGGTTTTCAAAGCATCGCTGTTTGCTCCATGCTTTTGTTACCATTTTCTTTCAGGATTTTGAAAGAGTTTTATACCTGTTTGCGAAGTGACCCATAAGTGTTCCAGAGAGTTGAGTAATTACGCTGTTTTACAGGCAGAAAGAGCAAAAACGGAGAGCAAAGAGCACTGCCAGCTGAAATCATGCCCCAGATGGGTGACAGAGCCATCTGCAGAACTGTGGCTCCGAGTCATTCATTTTTTGTGTGACTTTTAGCTGGAGTTTTACAGTATGGAGGCTGTCTCGTAGAGTGATTGATTTCTTCCAGGAGCTAGGGAGTTACTCCTCGTTCTTACCCCAGTTACAGAGTTCCTAGTATTCAGAGATTTGCTGCCTGGTTGGTTTTAAAAGGATTCAACCTGGGCATTTCTAGAAGCGTGTCAGTAGTTCATTGAAGGTAAAGGGGAAACTGCTCCCTTCTTGGTGGTAACAGTTGTGTAGGCAGAATCCTCCCTTCCAGGACACAGGACATATTCCAGAAGCCCAGATCAGCTTTCCCAGCCTGCTCCTGAGTAGTAGTTACGTGTAGCCGAACAGTCTTGGCAGGTAAGCAATGATCATTAGAAGAGGGAGAAAAAGGCTTTAATTTTCTTTTGTTCCCATGAATTTCTCTACATTTAACATATCATTTGGCAAGGAAAACCCAACAATTATCATAAAGGGTTATCACATGGGCTCTGGCACCCATTTCCTTGATAAAAAAATCATCTTTATTTTTTCCCCACAAGCAAAGGTTTAACGTGACCAGATGTGTGATTTCAGTTGTCCAGTTGCTGGTTTTCCCCTCTCTCTCCCATTCAAAATTCCTTGCCCATTATCCATTTCCGCTTCTTTCATGCCCAAATGCTCATACATACGTGGCTTCCCTGAGCTTCTCTGATTCAACACAGTCATAACCATTGTCTGAGAATTTCATGGAAATCGAGTTTATATTTCCTGAAAACATAATGGACTGTTTGATGTCACATTCTTCGTTTTTGACTAATCAAATGATGACTTAAGTGAGTCTAGCACAAACAAGAGGAAACAAAATGGTCTTTCCGATGGCTTTGCTTGCTTGGACTTGGAAACTAAATATCACCATCACAAATGTCTCCCTTGTGAAGTGGTTCTTCATTTCCCAGCCAGCAGTTTGTCAAAATGTTAAAGGAAAGTTGGTTCCTTTGTGATGGTTGATGTGCTTTAGGTGACATGAGCGGAGCTGTCTGCATTTTGGTCGTCGTATCTGCCAAGCCGGCCAATCCAGTCTCAGCATTGATCTTACAGCAAATCCTTCCCGTTCATCTCGCCTTCCTCCCCAAACTCAAATAATTGCAAGGGGAGGAGAGAGGGGCAGAACAGGCTCTGAATCAAATGCTGCTCTTCTGTTTCTTTTGTAAGTCTCTGGTAAGACTCTCTGTGTCAGTTATTCACTGGTAGCTGCTTCCTTTGCTATAAAACATCTTACTTATTTCTAGAAAAGGTCAAATGCAGGTGTTCTTCATTCTCTTCATCATCGGAGTTTCTTTCTGGTTTAGTGTGAGAACCCCCCTGCGTTGTGCAAGGGCAATGTAACACTCTGCTCTGAAGAACGTATTGGTTTGTGAGAAGAGGTTTGCAGTGGAAGGAGGTGGGAGGGCAAATGGCTTTATTTTTCCATTGCCTAAACCGAAAAAGAGGAACGAAGACCATGTGGTTTTGTGTTGTAAGCGGCGGCAGTGTGTGCCTTCGCACTGACCTTCGGGGACTGTTTAAAAACAGATAAGTAGAAGTGATGTTAAAGTTCTCTTAATATTTGGTCGGGTGCTCCTTCCTGCTTTACTGCACGGCCGCAACGACGCCCTCTGAGAAGGGATCCGTGCACTTGTCTTCTCCCGAGGAGGAGAGGAGAGAGCCCACGTGCGGGTGTGCTGGGGACCAGCACTGGAGAAGGACCCTCACTGCTTCCTCAGCAGATCTGGGGGCTTGCACGTTCATTCCCCAAGCCACGTGGCTGAGAGCAATCTGGCTGTCTCCCAGCCACAGGCGTCCTGGAGAGGTGCCCGCGGCATAGCCTGGACCGTGGGCCTTGTCTGGGGTCACCCATCACCAGGGTCTCACAAGGAAGAGGAAAACTGACAGCTCACAAGCACTGGGTTCAGTTTGCTTTTTTCCTAGCTCCTCTAAAACTTTAGGACAGAATACAATCGACGCATCAGTTTTACTGCTCTGCGTTTAGAAACTGTTATTTGAGTTTCTTTTTTTCTGAAAAGTAAAGCGTTTTTTCTTTAGAGGGGAAAAAAGAGGCAGTCTGGGCAAATACTGAAAATATGACCCCCGGTGCATATTTTGAGGATATTAATCATGTTTAATTTGGTTTGAAAATTAATTTGGGCTGCTGAAATGCAAATTAAATTTACTTATGATAGTATCTGAAAGCTGGCTGTTGCCAAACACTCCTCATTTATGAACAGGTACATGTTGTTGTAGAAGAAAATAAAGTTGTTTGCCCTATTTTAGTAATTGTTTCCTGATTGTCCAGGCCTATACTGGGTAAACAGAAAGTTGTTGGGCTTTTTTTAACTCTTATCTGCAATGTTGCTTCATTGGTCCTTAAAAGAATATCTGTATCTTGTTGAACTTATTAATTCCTTCCATTTTCCTAGTATGTGGAAAATACACTGGTGGTTAACTTGGGGAAGAGAATATTTTAGTAGAAGTCTTAGGAACATTTTAATTCATATTTTGTTTCAGGAAATGTCTCTAACATATATCTCTAATCCTGCTAGCTGCTATTCACCCAAGCAATTCTTTTGAAGCTGCTACTGTAAGTGTAGTTTTGCAGAACTGGATCTACGCTTAGGTTTTCCATGGCAATTACCCTTTCCATGCTTCCATCTGAAAAATGCTCCAAAGATACTGGTCATGGATGAATGGATGCGGCCCTGCTGATACCTTGGAAGAACAGAGGGGTCGGACCTGCTGATGGTATCGTGTGGTGTGGAAATATGGAAAGAGTTGTTTCTTTGCTTACAGATTGCAGAGGGGATGGCATACATAGAAAGAAAAAATTATATCCATCGGGATTTGAGAGCAGCGAATGTGCTGGTGTCGGACTTACTGATGTGCAAAATTGCTGATTTTGGACTAGCAAGAGTCATCGAAGACAATGAATATACAGCAAGGGAAGGTATGTGTTTCTCTGTTTGTATTTAAAGCTGCAGCCTCTGGGAGGCAGCGAGGCTGTATCTAACAATAACATGGTCACCAAGGACAGAAAATGCCATGATAACTTCCTGGAGACAGCGTTCTAATGCTTCAAGAACTTTAAAAAACAATAAGGAAACAAATAACCTTTCTGTGCTCCCCAGTCTTGTTGAAAAGTTTATTTTAAATAATTTTGAAGAACAAAGAGAACTGAGAGTGCTTAACTGCATGCAAGTTTTTCTGAATTGAACAAGTCTGTTGCGCAGCCACAGCTTCCATCCCACTGAATTAAATGCCAAGAAAACGTGATCTTATTTTCTCTTCACATCCTTCAATGCCAGATGTGCCTCCTTCACTTAGGGAAAGGAAGAAGCCCTATGGGTTGTAGTTCCGCCTTCAGTGGAACCGGTCACCTTCTGAAGCTGCTTTAGGCACCGCAGCGTTGATCTGCATGTTCAGCAGCGTTGCTGCTGCATGCAGGGAGACGGAAGGGCTGGCTCAGGTCCCCGGGGGTTCAGCACGCAGAGGGGAGCTGGCATCGCAGCAGGGTCAGCACCGGCAAGAGGGGCAATCATACCGGTAAAGATATTTGTCTTTAAAGATATATGTGTGTTTCCTCATGTTGTCAAGGATCCTTTCAAGCAGCGCGTAGTCAGTTTGCTGCAGTGCAAAGTTTTTGTTTACACTTCGTGCACAGATTGCGTTGGGGTGACTTTTCGGAGCAGGTTTGCTGGCCGGCTTTCCCCCTCTGGCTTTAAAGACAGCACATCATATTTTCACACAGCCTGGGTGGAAACTGTGGTAATGTAGGACAGGAGTGGAAGAACTAAGGTGTGAGGAAGAAAGAGAACAATGCGCTACAGCTGAGATTAAAGGAAGGTGAGCTTTTCAGCAGTCACTAGGTAACAGGAATTCAATAGATCAGAGGGAAGGGTCTGATTAAACAGTTTTCAGAGGTGCAGAACCCGTATCTGTGGTTTTTAGCTAGCTCTGGACATTGTATGTTGATTAAATGAACCTTTCAGGTTATAAATTCTTTATACCGAGTTTCTTTTATGTGTTTTCTACCATTCAGAAAAGTTTCCTAGCTTACCTGGTATTTTGTGCCAGAATGATAGAGCAGGCTGAGAAAGGCACAGACAGAATCTGCGTGTATTACTCTTCATTGTCTGAGGAGCTAACGTAATATTCCCCAACAAAGGCTGCTTGAGCTTTTCTTATTTAACTGGCAGGAGTGTGCTTTTAGATGGGATTTTCTGGAATTGGTTAATTAGACATGAAAGACATTATTTTAAGATAGGACTTTTAAAGATGTGACTTATTACTGCTTTTGCATCTATGGCTGAACATGATGCATGTAAAGTGTATGGTGAAGCTCAGCTGACTTTCTTTAAAATAGGAGAAGTTAGTTACAGGCTTGCAAAGTTCCAGGCAATGGGAATTGGAAGGTTGTTGCCTGGTGACTGGGCAGAAGGAGAAGTTGGCTGTAACTTTAGCAAGCATTCACCATACCGAAGAGTCGAAAGGTGCTGCGTGACTTTCGGCACCTTATTTGCACCTCTGACGCAGGACATGCAGTGTGGCAACGTCCATCTTGCAGCACACCTCTGCTGATAACGCGTGGACAGCAGGAGTTGCTGGTAACTTTGCTGATCTAGGGGCATCCCAGGCAAGTCGTGTAAGGCCGTTTAGTGACTTGATATTGAGTGTTTAAATTTGCCTTTGACTGATTGAGACTGTGCTTTTTTTTAGGTGCAAAATTCCCTATTAAATGGACAGCACCAGAGGCAATTAACTATGGATCTTTCACTATTAAATCTGATGTGTGGTCATTTGGGATTCTCCTGTATGAAATCGTTACGTATGGAAAGATTCCTTATCCAGGTACGGGCACGTGTTTATACCGTTCCTCTGTATTTATACTTTGGTGTTAAAAAGCAAAGAAAATGTGCAGGGAAAG